CCAGAGACCCGTGCTGACAGGGCTGGGGAGAGGCTTAACTGGGTACTCCCTTCATGCCCTAGAATGCATACCTACACCCATGCTAAGAAAGCAATGATGAGTCAGGAATTCCGCTGCACTGCACGTTTTTGCTCACTTACTGTTATGAGGAGGTACTAAGAACCCTAGTCTACAGGTCTGGAAACTGAGGCATAGAAGTTAACTTATCTTCCCAAGGTCACATAGCTTGTGAGGGGTAGAGAATAAAGCCAAGAGTCAGTGTTACTATCCCAGTGACTCTGGCAGATCTCTTTATCCCTGTGCAGGTTTGGTGATTTAGATGTGCTTGGTTGAAATTTTATTTGCAATATTTTGCCAGGAGTTGATAAAGAAACCCAAAAAAGGTGATACGTCATGCTACTTACTGCTAGGCTGATACTACAACCCTAAAATCTTTCTCACTCAAATGGAGTCCCATTGGGGTGGCAAGGGCTCTCCAACCCACCACTCAGGAACCAAGCTCCTCCATCCTGTGGCACTACCCTCTTGACACCTGGCCTCCAAGTTTGCTGAGTCAGGGAAGGAAGGGAGGGAGGAGATACACTGGATTTTAATTTCTTCGTCCCAGAACTGTCACACCAAACTTTCGCTGTTAATTAGCTTGAACTAGTCACATGGCCCCAACCTAACTGCAAAGGATGATGGGAAAATGTAGAGGCATGGACTACCTACCAGAAGAGCACTATTCTTGTTCTAGAATGAGACTGACCCCAGAGCCCAGCAGCAGACCAGCAGAGGCAAGGAAAAAGTGGATGGGCATAAGCAGTGGCTCGTCCCCTGCCCCCCCCACACCCTAAAAGAAGATAACACCCATGAAATTCTGGGAGAACAGAGCCTGTCCTTACCTTGGGTCAGCCTGTTTCAGCTTCTACTTTCTGCTCCTGCCCCAGGATGTGGGGGCATCTTTCTATGCCAGGTCGAATTGACAGAAGGGAAAGAGAAGGAACGTGGGAAAGTGGGAAAGGGGTCATTCCATAGACCAGTGAGAAGCTGCTCTCAGTTAGGGAACAGGGCAGAAAAAATAATTTTGAATCTCTTAGGTGGTGTGGGCAGAGCCTTCCCCAGTTAAGCTTTCAGATGTGACCCCAGCCCTGGGTGATACCTGACTGCAGCCTTGCAGAGGACTCAGCTAAGCTGTGCTAGGACCCTTGAAGAAGAAACCCTTCCAAAGAAACCTGGAGATGATAAATGTGTGTTGTGTTCAGCTGCTAACTATATGTTAGTATGATATGCAATAACAATGTGCTAACAATATGCTAGTATTAGTATACAGCAATGAATCACTAATACAAGGGTAAGAGGGGAGTGCTTCCTTGGGCTGCCATAACAAAGTGCCACAAACTGGGTAGCTTAAAACAACAGAAATGTATTCTCACAGTTCTGAAGGCTAGAAGTCCAAAACCAAGGTGTTGACAAGGCCATGATGCCTCTGAAGCTTTTAAAGGAGGATCCATCCTAGCCTCTTTTAGCTTCTGGCATCCTCAGGTATTCCTTGGCTTATGGCAGCATCACTCAATCACTTCCTCTGTCTTTATATGGGCATCTTCTCTATGTGTCTTCGTCTTCTCCTTTTCTTACAAGGACACCAGTATTGGATTAAGGGCCTACTTTACTGTGTTACCTCATCTTAACTAATAACGTCTTCAATTATCCTATTTCCAAATAAGGTTATTCTCAGGTATTGGAGATGAGGACTGCAGTATTTCTTTCTGGCACATTTCAGTCCATAACAGAAAGAAAAAAAGAAAAGAGCTGACAACTGAAGTATCATTTGGAAAACAAATGTTTTCTACATAGGTCAGTTGAACGTATCCAGGCAGTCTGCATATCACTGCAAGGACTAGCACCTTTGTAGGTGAGGATCACAGAAACTACTGAAAGAGTGGATACTTCCCTTCTCTCAACATTCTCAAACAAATGTCTGGTTTCACAAACTGAAAGAATCCCTGTCCTGAGGGTAGTTTCTTTCACAGCTGCCAGAAAGGGTTGTGCACCCTGCCCCATGGCAGGCAATGGACAAGATGACCCTGCCTTCTAAGTCTTTGCATTCTAAGATAGTCTCATTCCATTAGTCGGGGGCTATATTTGGAGCCCTATCCTGGGCTAATGAATGGGCTGCTTTTTTCTGTCGCAGATACTGGAAGGGCCCACAGACTGCGGTATTTTTTCAACTGTGGGTAGCTGCTGCCACCTTGTGCCAGAAAGACTCCATGGCTAGAGTGACCAGGGAGTCACAATCTCAGACAAGAACACTATGAGAGTGAAAGAGGAGCACTTCTAATAACTGTGTTAGGGCAGCAGGTATAAATCGGGACTGTCCCAGACAAGCGTATGGTCACTCCTGGGGGATGGAAGGAAACAATGGTATGTGCAAGAGTTTCTCCAAAGAAAATCTGGCAGAGTTTTCCAAAATGTTCTACTTTCCTACATTTACTTCCAGCATAGTCTTCCTATGCTGTCTACCCTGGCCATTACACATCTCTCACAAGGTTAATAATATGTGAAAGAGCTCTCAGCAACTCTGATACAAAGAATAAAGAAATCCCAACTATGCCTACAAAAAGAAAAACAAGTCTTTTTCTATATTATCTATGAACATAATACACCCTAAACATATTTAAAGTCTTATTCTGACTTTAAGGCCGCATTTTCAGTCAATAAAGAACCAAAGGCTGGGTGCAGTGCCTCACTCCTGTAATCCCAGCACTTTGGGAGCTGAGGTAGGAAGATTGCTTGAGGTCAGGCATTTGAGACCAGCCTGGACAGGACAACATAGTAAGTTTCTGTCTCTGAGAAAGAGAGAGAGAGAGAAAAAGCAGAAAGAGCTCAATTGTGTGTGTGTGTGTGTGTGTGTGTGTGTGTGTGTGTGTGTGTGTGTGTGTGTGTTTAGTGACGGCTTTTAAAATTGACATATGACTCAGATACGGAAAAATAAAAGGAAAATTTTGAGATCTCTTTTAGGTTAAGCAGCCCATTCAAAGCTCAAATTCCTAACAACTTGAAGGGGTCTCTCCCAGCTCTTCTCTGGATGGTGTCTGGGTACAGTGGCGTTGCTCAGCTTTCCCCTCATCCTCCTTAGCCTCTGCAAGATGTCCCTCATCCTGCTTGGTGATGAAGGTACAGCTGGCTTCATCTGGTCCACAGTGGCATCTGCCACCCACACCCTGGTCTTTGCCTTTGCCTCTGGTGGCAAGAGTTCTACACTCTGAGCTTTCTTATTTGGAAACTAGGTCTTTTCTGGTCTCTCAGCTATTCCAAACTCTGCAGAGTGCCAGAAAACTCCAGGTTGCCTTCTCTTCAGCATACTGTGGTGAGTGGACCCTCGAAGGCTGCCCTCAGATGTGTTTCAGTCATTACCACGTACTAGTTCTTGGATCATATTGAGTGCAGCATCCCCCTTGATGAAGGTTTTCTCTTAAAGTTCTATAGTTTCCCCACACTCTGCCCAGGCACACTCTGGGGAAGGATACCAGCCCCATGACTATCTTCCAAATCTATCCAGGTAGTAATTTTATTCATGGCACACCCTCTTGCACTGCAGCACATCTTGTTAATGCTCCATTCTGGGGAGAGGCAGGCAGCCAGAACATTTCAGGTCTCCATTGCCTTTCTCTTCGCCTTCTCTCACCAAGATCCTACTCCCAGCACTAGAAGGAACTTTCTCCTTCCTCTGTGGTGAGAATTTCACTATCATCATATTCCATGTTCCTCTCTGATCTGTTCTAGGATTAGTGCTCTACACTCTGGCTATCTGAAAATCCTACTTTTTCCCCCTTAACTTTCTCAACATAGCCTAGAAAACCAAATAGTAGTTCCCCTATTTTTGTTGCTTCTGCCCTCCCATGAAGCTCTGAATATTGCCAATTCAATGTATGAACACCACAGGCTAGTGAGAGACTGGGAGTTGTCATGTTAATATCTCAAAACATGCTATCTTTTTACAGGGAGAATTGTCTATTTGATAAATATCACCAAATAATTTGTAAAGGAAGAATAGTCTTATCTGTTAATTTAGAAAATAAATTGCTCTGATTATTTGCTAAAATAAATTCCAGATGGATTAATTAACTGAACAATTAAAGAAAAATCAAATCTTTCAGAACAGCTGGCAGAAAATAGAAATGAGTATTTATCCTCTCTCTAGTGGAGTAATTTTCTAAACTTTAAAATCATAGAGGAAAGAAAATAGAAAAAATAAATTATAAAACTTTAAAAATTCTGCCCCCAACAATATAAATAAATGAAAAAGAAAACAAAAGAGTGAGAAAATATTTCCAGGACATGTAAGATTCAAAATATATTACATGTGTTATATACCAGAAAACTTTATTCATTTACAGATTAAATTGGTTCCTTAAGAAAGCAATTTGTCAATATAATCCAGGAATTTCACTATTTGGGACTTATCCTAAGAAAATAATTTAAAGGAAGACACAAGTTATATATATTTTTATAGTCCTATTTGTATTGCATTATGATCATTTTACACATCTGACTCCACATGGTGTTTTTTGCCTGAATTCCTGATGCTTAGCCCAGAGTCTGACATACTGTAAGTGGCAAATAAATGTAGCAGAATAACTATTTTGTTGTAGTATTTATATGATAGTAAAAAATTGAAATGATCTTAATTTTCAGCAGTTGGAGAATGAGTAAATAAAATGCAGTGTAGTCATTTGATGGGAATATAGTCAATTAAAATAACCATTAAGTTATAAAACATGAAAAACATATGATTGCAAGTATGAGTCTTAGACTTACATAGTCAGTTGTGGCAAAAGTGTGACTTTCTTTAATTTTCTACAGTTATTCTCACTTTTCTTTTTGAGCCCTATTACACCTAATGATATGCCCCTGGTATGCCCGTGATATCGATTCTGGACAATCTGGGCAATTCAAAGTTCTGTGGCCATTCCCAATTTTCAACTGCTTGCTTTTTCCCAGGAGCACCTTTTCATTACCTGCTCTTGTGGGCATCCACTGGGGTGTCCACTGACATCTCTCTTCTTCAGTGATTGATCCATACAGGACCTGGGTAGACCTCTGTTCACTAATACAGAAGTGTTTCAGGTTACCCTCTGTCTCAACCACATTCCACCTCTATCATCAAGTCACCCTGGGGCTGCTGGGAGTTCTGAGAGGTTGTCTTGGGTGCTTATGCCCTAGCTGCGTTATATGTAGCACTTGTTGCTTCCACATGGGGCTAAACGGAAGTACCTCTGAGACACTTGCCACTACCCCAGACTCTTTTCTGGATGGGGGTTTGGGTTGAGTCTTATCCAAGAGGTCTTGGGGGTATAGGGGATAATGGGGTAGGCTCCAAGACACGCACATTTCCTTCCTTCTGATTCTCTTCAGCCCTGCCCTAGTCTAATGTACTTTATCAAATTGGGGGGTGAGAAAAATTGACTCTGACCATTTACTTCCAAACACTTTTGTCTTTGACCTGGACCTCAACTTCTGAAATTCATAATCTAATATTTGATTATTTGGTTCTGCTATAACAACCCTCCAGAGACAGTCTAGGAAGAGTTAAGATAGCAAATAAAACAGCTCAATCCCAAATAAAAATTTAAGCTTATTGATGAATGTGTCAAAATGTTGTCTACCACAAATGCTAAAATAAACAAAACCCCAAAACAGTTACTATAACTGTGTGAACATTATTTCTGCATGTAGATGTTCCAGCCTGATTGAGAGTTTATGTCCGCTGCTCAGAAAAGCTGAGATAAAGACAGCAGCTATGAAGAGAAAGCCTTTAATGATCACAAAGCAGCTGAGCACGGGGAATGGGAGAAATGTCTCAAATCTGGCTCCCCGAGACTTTGGGGCTAGGAATATTAAGGAATGATTTGGCAGGCAGGGGGCTGGGGAAAAGGCGTTGTTGATTGGGGATGAAAGTGTGGGAGTGTCAAAACTGTTTTCACAGGCAGAGTCAGTTTCTAGGAGGGAGGTGGAGTCAGCTTCTTGGTACGTTTTCTGTGTCCAGGCGGGGTCATAGGTCTATCAGAAGCAAAGTCTGAAAAACATCTTAAACACTGCTCTTGGGTTTTATAATGCAAGTCTGCAGGAGATGAGATTCCCGGAGATTAAAGCTGCTCTCGCCTTTGGGCCGATAATACTTCAGAACGCCATCAATGTCTTTGGGACAACTCTAGACTCATTGTTTAAGGAAAATACATTTATCAACAGGAAGCTTACCCCCTCCCCAGAGGTCAGGACATAAAGATATTCATTTGCTCTCTATTGAAGTGATTGTGTAAGCAATCTTGGAAGGAGGAAAGTAAACTTAGAAACAACAGATTTGTTCTTTCTCTGTGGAATCACCATGATGGCTGGGACCCTACATACATATCCTGAAAACGGGAGGGCCTTCAAGGCCCTCATTGCTGCTCAGTACAGCAGGGCTCAGATCTGTGTGCTCTCTGCACCACTTTCACTTTGGCCAAACCAACTGCACCACTGAATTTCTCTGCAAATTTTCTGCCAGCAAGGTTCCAGCATTTAAGGGTGATGGGTGGTGGATTCTGTGTGTTTTGAGAGTAATCCCATTGCCTACTATGTGAGCAATGAGGAGCTGCATGGAAGTACTCCAGAGGCAGTGACCCAGGTGCTGCGACAGGTGAGTTTTGCTGATAGTGACATACTGCTCCCAGTCAGTATCTGGGTGTTCCCCACTTTGGGCATCATGCATCACAACAAACAGGACACCGAAAATGCAAAGGAGGAGGTGAGGTGAATTCTGGGGCTGCTGGACGCTCACTTGAAGACAAGAACTTTTCTGGTGGGCGAACAAGTGACACTGGCTGACATCACAGTTGACTGCACCCTGTTGTGGCTCTATAAGCAGGTCCTGGAGACTTCTTTCCTGAAGGCTTTCCAGGCCTTCTTTCTTTCCAGGCCTTTCTCAATACCAAACACTGGTTCCTCGCCTGTGTTAACCAGCCCCGGTTCCTTGTTGTCTTGGGGGAAGTGAAACTGTGAGAAGATGGCCCAGTTTGATACTAAAAAGTTTGCAGAGAGCCAGCCTAAAAAGGACATCCCACGAAAAGGGTTCACGAGAAGAGAAGCAGAAGGCCCAGGCTGAGTGGAAGGAGGAGAAAAAGGCAGCTGCCCCTGCTCCTGAGGAGGAGGTAGACAAATGTGAGCAGGTCCTGGCTGCTGAGCCCAAGGCCAAAGACCCTTTTGCTCACCCAAGACCCCAAGAGTACCTTGGTGTTGGATTGATTTAAGTGCAAGTACTCCAACGAGGACACACTCTCTGTGGCACTGCCATATTTTTGGGAGCACTTTGAAAAGGATGGCTGGTCCCTGTGGTATTCTGAGTACCGCTTCCCTGAAGAGCTCGCTCAGACCTTTATGAGTTGCAATCTCATCACCGGAATGTTCTAGTGATTGGACAAGCTGAGGAAGAATGCCTTTGCCAGTGTCATCCTCTTTGGAACCAACAATAGTAGTTCCATTTCTGGAGTCTAGATCTTCCGAGGAGCTTGCCTTTCTGCTGAGTCCAGATTGGCAGGTGGAACGAGTCATACACATGGCGGAAACTGGATCCTGGCAGCAAGGAGGCCCAGACACTGGTGCAAGAGTGCTTTTCCTGGGAGGGGGTCTTCCAACATGTGGGGGTAAAGCCTTCAATCAGGGCAAGATCTTTAAGTGAACTTCTCTTGCCATCACCTAGCTGCTTGCACCTGTCCTTCAGGGAGATGGGGGTCATTAAAAGAAACTGAACATTGAGAAAGGAAAAGAAAGAAACAACAGATTTTGTTCATTTCTAACCATAGCTACAGCATTGCAGGGCTTGGGTCTCTTCCACAGCTTTTACCCCCGTGACCCTATATTAATTTTATATAGGTGGTTTTGTGGAAAACACGTGGAGCAGGGAAAATGGTAAACTAATTCATGTGTTAGTGAGGAAAGAGTGTGGATGAATTTTTTTCCTTCATATTAGTTATATGTAAATACCAGCCATGTTGCTTGTGAAAAGCTTAATCTATTTTTTACCTCCAATAAGGAAGGCTTCCTAGCCCATGTATTTTCCAACTGGTCCCCCATCATTCCCTGATACAGCCTTTTTTTCCTCCAGTAAGGCCAGTTTCCTTACCCACAATCTGTTCATGCCAGCTTGTATGCCTTTGCTGAACCAAGTGGTTCTCAAACCTTAGCTACATTACCATCCCCTGGAGCTGGGGTCCCCAATCCCCAGGCAGTGGACCGGTACTGGGTCTGTGGCCTATTAGGAATGGGCCGCACAACAGGAGGTGAGCGCGGGAGAACAGATAGTTTTAGGAGCTGAACTCTATTGTGAACTGCGCATGCGAGGGATCTAAGTTGCTCTCTCCTTATAAGAATCTAATGCCTGATGATCCCGCCCACTCACCCCTTCCCCCACCCCTGACAGCTGAATAACTGTCTTCCATGAAACCAGTCCCTGATACCAAAAAGGTTGGGGACCTCTGCCCCAGAAGGCTTGTTAAAATACAGATTGCTGCTTCCTCCTCCGACCCCCATCCTGTATTTCTGATTTACTAGGTGTAGGTGGTGTAGTCCTAACAAGTTCCCAGGTGGTGCTGGTGATGCTGGTGGTGCCGGGTTCAGGGACTACAGTTTGAAAACCACTGGCTTAACCATACTTCTCACCTGAAGTGTTTTTTCTTTTTTCCTTCTTCTCTAGTTTCCTCTCTTCCTTCCTTTTCCAAATAAAAGATAACCTAATATGCATAATAGGCTCGAGGCACGTCTTGAGTTTTTTGGCTAGCATGAACCTATTAATTCATGTATTTCATCCTACTTTTTCCTCAACAAATGCTCAGAACTCTGATTTATTTACTCTGCTCTAGCCCCACTATGTATATAATCTAGCAGTACTATATTTTTTGGAATGTATTAATGCATGTCTTTGTAATTATTTCATACAATTTTTCTCTCCCTACCTGGCCTTTTGAGGCTCAGACAGGATATTTTATTTTCCCTTGCTGGCAGGCGCAGAGCCAGTGTCTGCTGATTGGGGGCCCCTGAGGGGTAGGCATGCCCCTATTAATAGAGCACGGACTGCCAAACCTGTCTGATCCAGCTGCTCACCCCACCCTTATTAGTCTTGTGGAATTTTCTCTCACTCTGTTCTTGCTGGGTAATTTTCCTACACTCCTTTTACAGTGGAGAGCCCCCCAGTACATTCCCAACAGGCCCCACTTACACCAAAACCAGTTCCCAAAAAAACAATTGTGCAAACTACCATTAAAAATATATATTTATTATAAAAAAAATAATATGGCTTTACAACTGCCTATTAAAAAATACAGAAAAGTCAAAGAAGAAAATGAAAGCCTGGGCAACATAGCGAGAACTCATCTCTACAAAACATCAACTGGGCATGGTGGCATGCACCTATAGTCCCAGCTACTCACGAGGCTGGGGCTGAAGGATTGCCTGAGCCCAGGAGGTCAAGGCTGCTGTGAACTGTGATCGTGCCAGTGCGCTTTAGCCTGCAGGGTGAGATGCTGACAAGAAAGAGAGAAAGAGAGGGAGAGGGAGAAAGAAAGAAAAAAAGAAAGGAGAGAAGGAAAGAGAGAAAAGGGGGGGGGAGGGAGAGAAAGAAATAAAAAGTTAAAGTTTACCTGTAATCCTACCATATAAACACCCAATTTTAACATCTCAAGGTTTACCTCTCATACATATTTTCCTACAAAATTAGACCAATCTATAAATACTATTTTTCAACCTATATTTTTCATTTGCCAATATATCTAGACTATTTACTGATGGTATTAATCTTCTTTAATATGGCTGCAAATGGCTTCAGATGACTACAAAGCATTACCATCACATACAGAAAGTGTATGCTATTTATCCAAATAACCTACCACTTTTTTGATATAAATAATGACTCAATGAATATCCATATTCATTCATCTTTGTACTTTCCAATAACTTCCTCAACAATTATTTTTTATTTTTATTTTAAAGATGTGGGGTACCAGCCATATTGAACAGAAGCTC